CCCATGCCTCCGCGTCCCCGCTCCACAGCACATACCGGCCCTGGCGCCCGGCTCCGTGTCCCCGCTCCACAGCACAGACCGGCCCTGGCCCACGGCTCCGGGTCCCTGCTCTGCAGCACAGACCAGCCCTGGCCCACGGCTCCATGTCCCCGCTCCGCAGCACAAACTGGCCCTGGCTCACCACGCCGTGTCCCCGCACGGCTCCAGATCCCCACATGGCTCCGGGTCCCCACTCTGCAGTACAGACTGGCCCTGGCCCACAGCTCTGTATCCCTGCTCCGCATCACAGACCAGCCCTGGCCCACGGCGCCGCGTCCCCGCTCTGCGAGAGGCTGACTCTTTCCTTTCCCCGGTAGATCAGGGACAGCCTGTCCCGGGAGGCACCGGACGCCTGCCAGCTGGGATGGTGCAGCCCAACTCCCCTCGCCCTGGGGCGGTCCCTGCACGGAGGGGGCCCACGGGGGAGCTGCAGCTGTGTAGGACAGGCCTGGCAAGCCCTGGCGGGACGCTGCTCTTCGGTTACTTGGCCACCCAGCCAAGACCCCTGGCTCTGCCAGCAGGCAGCCTGCCCCCCCGGGGGGGGCTTTACAGCTGAGCTAACATGACCCACCCCTGACCCGCCCCCCCCACTGACACCGGGCCGGCCCCTGCAATCCGGCTGCCTGGGAATTAAAGCGAAGTCTCCCACTGCCGGTCTGGTGCATGCACAGGGCCAGCCACAGCTCCGCTCCGGCTCTGCCAGGCCACTCCCAGCCTCCCACCGGGCTGAAGGCAGGAGCAGGGCACTGGGGAGACTTAAGCAGGTCCTTGCTGAGCCGAAGCCCCTGCCCCAGAGCAGACCCCGTCCAGGCAGGGCTGCAGCTGCGGAGCGAGGCTGGGGCGGGAGGGGAGCAGCTGGCCGGGTGCCCACGCCGGGGCCAGATGCGCGTGCGGAGCAGCGTGGATGGGTGGCAGCCTCACACGGTGGAGGCTCGGTGCAGCCGTTAATCACGAGCTAATTAGCCGGCCAATCAATCAGCCCCTTAGCAATTTCCTCTAACATTTCTAGAACAGCCTGTCTTGGCAGCGGGGGCGGCAGCAGGCACCTGGCAGGCAAACCGGCTTCCTGTTGCATTTGCAAGTTGGCTGCAGTACAGAGCCCCCGCCTGGCAGCAAAACTGAGCGACAGAGTGAGCTCGGGCCCCCGGCTTCCCTCCCCAGGCCTCCTAGCTGGGCCCCTGCCCTCCGGAGAGGCAGGGATGGGGGGCCTCTACCCCGGCTGCAGCACTCAGGCCAGCTGAGGCGGGAGGGGCCTTTCCCCCTGTACGTATCCTGCAGCTGCTGACAGGGGACCTCCCCCCTCACTCAGGCCTGAGTGGGCCTAGAGAGTCAGGCTCAGAGTTCACCCCGGAATCCATCCCGGTGCCTTCACCAAGTGCCCAGGCCGTGGGGCCAGGCCGCAGGGAGAAGCTACCCCACAGGCGCGTTATTGCCCTGGCGCGAGCGCTGGCGAGGGAGCCACAGTGCCAGGGCCGGGGTCTGGAGCCCTCCAGTATCTGCCCGGCAGGGCAAAGGGATGGCGAAGGTTACCCAGTAAGCGCCTGCCTCAGCAGAACGCTCGCTCAGCAAGCGGTTAAGCGGAGGGGCAGCCCGGGGGGATGCTGGGCCGCGTACTCGGACGCCTGGGGCGCTGACCCTCTGTGCCTGCAGCAGACGTGGCAGCACCGGCCCTGCAAGACTCGGTCCCTGCCCAGGCCCACACCAGCCCTCCCCCGGGTCTGCAGCCTAGAGCGTCCTCGGCGTCGCGAAGCCCCTTCGGAAGGGCTGGGAAGCGGCGCTGGGCCCCGGTCGGTGCCGAGGAGAATGGGACCGAGACCTGGCCCACGGGCAGAGCCGCTAACCAGCTGGGCCGGGCCGGCAGCGCCCGCTCCTGGC